TATGTAGTCTAGTGGGATTTTTCCACCGAGGCAAAGGCTAAGGTTGAGGGCAGTCATCTTGTGCAGGCCCAAGCAGTCTCTCACAGGGCTGCAAGATCCAGATTGAGTTCCCCATCATTCTGAATGGTTGAACTCCGCCGTTCTATTACAGGTTTCCCACACCCTTTCTTTAAAGATGTTCAAGTTGGGAACTCAGAAAAATACCCTTGATGACCACCTCTGTCTTTGCAGAGTGGGTCCAAAGACTTGCACAGTCAGGAGGTCCGAGAGTGCCGGGGGGGGTATGGGGGTTCAAGGGCAGCGGGGGGGGGTATGGGGGTTCAAGGGCACCCTTCCCGGTGCTTGAGCGATGGCTGCTGGGTCGGGAGCAGGCGTGGTTCTCCTTCCCGCGGTGGATTGGGCCCGGCCTACCTTCCCGGCACTTGAGTGATGGCTGCTCTAAACTTTCAGTCTTCTTGCCTCAGCCTCCCAGAGTAGTTGGGATTATAGGCATGTGGCACCACACTGTTTTTGTTTTGTTTTGTTGACTAATGCTAAGGTAGAGGCTCCATGGGCGCTGTTACTATTTTATAAATTACCATTTATGCTATACATTGTTTTCCTTCTACCTTGAGTAGATGGGAGTCACTTCTTTGCCAAAGTCATCAGAACTGTTGGTTCTGGGTCACCTGGTAAAGTCAAGGAACTGAAACATCTGGTTTTGCTGAAGGATCTAGATATTAAGATCCATAGGCCCTGCACCAGGGCACACCCTGCTCACTCTGGCAGGCTGACTTGGGTCTTCTATTAAGTGGGAATAAGTGGATTTAGCAGTAGCAAATTTTGCCAAGAGCCATGATCCAGCCAGCATAGGCCATAGAGCCTGTAAAGGCTCCTCGCAAAATGTCCATCTGCTTCCTGTTCTCTGGCTAGAAACTGAAGGCCATGAACCTTGGCTAGTGACAGAATCATAACATTTTGCAAACCAGCCAAGCACTCTGGGAGGCTGACACAGGAGGATCACAAATTTGAGCCCAGCCTAGGCAACTTAGCAAGACCCCATCTGAAAACAAAAGGCTGGAGATTGTAGCTCAGTACTCCCTGGGTTCAACCCCAACATACCACACACACACACACACACACACACACACACACACACACAATCTTGCTCCCTTTTAACTCATCCTATTTTCTCCCTACACACACACACACACACACACTATCTTGCTCCCTTTTAACTCATCCTATTTTCTCCCTACATCCATGCTATGACAGGAAAATGAAGCATTACCTGAAGTAGACAGCCTCCACAAAGCAGTCTGTACCAGACCTGACAAGGGTCTAGGCTTATGAGAGGGGGTTGTTTTGTTTTGTTTTTGAGACAGGATTTCACTAAGTAGCTCAGGCTGGCCTTGAACTTGTGATCCTCCTCCCTCAGCCTCCTGAGTGCTGGGATTACAGGTGTGCACCACCACACTCAGCTGAGAGGGGTCCTGGGCAGAGCTCACAGCCTGGAGTGTGGCTTAGTAGTACAGTGCCAGCCAGCATAAGTGTGGCCCCAGGTTCCAACTCTAGACCACAAGACTCAAACTGAGCTGGGTTCTGGGTAGATGACTCCAGTCTTCTGTCAGCCCATCCCTAGAGCAAGACTGTGTGATCCAGGGCCCTCACTTGGCAGCTGGGATGGGCCCTGCTGCATGCAGTGTGGTGACACAGATGTAGGAAGGTAGCATAAAGGCCAAACAAGCTCATTCCAGGGCAGCTGTCCTTATGTCAGACAGAAGCCTAGAATTAGGACCAAGGATTTAGCTCAGGACTGGCGATTTGGCTCAGTGGTGCTGCCACCTGCCTCGCCAGAGCAAGGTGCTGAGTTCCATTCTCGGTTTAAAAAAAAAAAGCCTAGCATTGCCCACCCAGCTGGTCCCATGGTTGCCCAGGAAGGTCTTCTGTGCTCCCAGTCACACAGACGAGAGGACTGAGACACAGGCCTTGTTCTCAGCTGTTCCCTTGCCACCCTTCCGTAACTAGTAACACTGCTCCGAGCTCCTCACACATTAAGACCTGAGTGCAGCTCTCAAACCACATCCAGGCCAGCAACCTCAACCAAGCCAGTCTCCCACCATCACTGCTGTCCTGTGTCCCACACAGTCCTGCACTCACAGCTGGAAGGGGAGAGCTGCTCAGGAACAACTCTGTGGGAAGACAGAAATAGGACGTGACAGCATGTAGCTGTACACGTGGTCCAAAGTGCTCCCCAGGCCTCAGATGCCATCTGTGGGTACAGGAGTGAGTCTAGCTTGGTTCCTGGGGATGCCTAGATAACCTGGCTTTACAGCTTCTCAGCCCCACTTGTGGGCCATAAGGAGAGGCTGGGAGGTGGTGGAGAAGACTTCTCCAAACACTCGTGGTCATGGCTGAACACACAGAGGGGCTCGGCCGCTCAGCCCTTGGGAAAGAAATCTTAACTACAGTAGTTGGTTCTGTTGCTAATAAGACTTCACACCAAGGCACTCTTCGTGTTCTCACTTCATACAACTTACGTACTGACTATGTCCACCTAAGATGTGTGTGCTGAGGTCTGAATTTCTGACCGGGACTTAGAGGCCTTTGGGAGGTGACTAGGTAAGAGGTACAGCCCACATTGTTGGCTTAGTGCTCCTACAGAAGAGGCACTGAGATACCTTAGCTGACATCCATGAACTAGGACACGGGCCTTCACCAAACAAACTCTTGTTTATACCTTGATCTCAGACTCCCAGCCTCCAAAATTGAATCTCTGTCATTTATGAGCCATTCAGCCTATTTTGTTATAGCAGTCTAAAAGGACTGACACTACTTTTTTGTTTGTTGTTTCGTTTTTTTGAGACAGAGTCCCATTAGTAGGTCACTATGGGCTTAAATTCACCACGTAGCCCAAACTGGCCTTGGACTTGTGGCAATCCTCTTGTCTCAGCCTCACAAGTGCTGAGATTACAGGCATGTACTACTTAGCTTGGCCCCTAAGCACTACTTCTTAAAAATAACCCTTGGGATGCAGCTGGGCATGGTGGTGCACACCTATAATCCCAGCACTCAGGAGGCTGAGGCAGGAGGATTGCTGTGAGTTTGAAACCAGCCTGGGCTACATAGTGAGTTTCAGGTCAGTATCAACTACATAGTGAGACCCTGTCTCAAAAAAAACGAAAACAAAAAACAAAAACAAAAAAAAACCCACACTAATACTAATACTAATAATAACCCTTGGGGATTTAGCTCAGTGGCACCATGCCTGCCTTGCAAGCACAAGGTCCTGCGTTTGATCGCTGGTACCATACACACACACAAAAAAAGATCCTATCATAAAATAAACTCTTGGGCCGGGGACTTAGCTCAGTGGCACCACACCTGCCTCACAAGTGCAAGGTCCTGAGTTTGATTCCCGGTACCAAACAAAATAAACCCTATCATCTCCAGGTTGATCCCAAGTCCTCCGGGCTAAGCCACAGGACTCAGCTCCAATCAGCAGCCTGTGAGTGCCAAGATGCCCCTTCCCAGCAAGTCACACGTGGGAGAAGTTTCGAATTTATTCTTGTTCACATTCAAGGCATAGCTTTGTTTCAGCAGGAGTGATACTGGGATAGGCGGTACCCCTGGGAAGAGGAGGGAGAGTGCCCCCCTCCAGCCCCACTACTTCACACAGCTACAGAACAGGAATGAGGACACCAAATGAACAGTTCACTTTGGCACTCTGTGAAGGTATGAGGCCATCCCCACACCCCAAGCCTCCAGGAAGGTGTAGGGCACATCTTCTACTCTTCAGGGGGCCCAAAGCAGCAACAGACCTTGAGGAAAGGGCTCTCCCAGGGGTCTCTACAGCCTGAAGAGAAAACTCTCAGCTGGGGGGAAAGGGGCCTTCCCTGAGGTATAAGGTGGGTAGCAGGTCAAACTTTGCTTCTGCTCCAGAGCTCCAGAGCTCCAGAGCTGCAGGACTCAAACACACAGAAGACTTCAGGAAAACATCCTTCAAGAGCAAAGAGCTGTCCTTCGGAGTCTCCGGTGACTCAGCCCCCAGGATGAACAAAGGCATGACAATTAAAAGATCAGGCACTCTGTGCCTCCAGAACGCCTGGAGCTGGTACCCAAAGCAAGCAGTAAATTTCCCTGTTGGCAGAGAAATGGAGCAGCCTTTACCTGGCCCAGGATGGCACAAACCATGCTCTCAGTGGATTCATTGCTGGTGATGATGACCTGAGCCTAGGTCCTGCATCAGTCCCAAAGGGCTGAAGGGGCACCTGCAGGAGTAGCTGGTGCTTTAAGCCGCACAGGGCAGCCCAGCCACTCAGGTGACAGCAACCCAAGCTCTCTCCAAGATCAGGGACCCAGGAGACTATAGCTTACACAAGTGCCCCTCCCCCATGGACTGAGGCAAGCTACCCTCCTTTGTTTTGGCTGTAAGCACGCAAAAGCCCACTCTGTGACTCCCGGGGGTCAGGGCTGCAGGTACAGCTCACCAGCATCAGAAAACATGCTGGCTCCCCGGTTCCTGCTCATCTAGAGCAGCCTTTCAGGTGCCTGGAGACCACTGTATAGTGCATAGCCCATGTCATCAATCTCTTCCTCCCGAAAGCTACCCAAGAGGTTCACGCTAGGGTCAAAGTGGCAGGGCAGGCTGGCCTGCTCCAAACTGCCAATGAGCAACTCCAGAGCCTGCAGAAAGCGCTCTCCCAAGGCCTCTTCAGTCCAGTCCATTTCCTCCTCCCCCAGATGCAGCACCACCTGGGTCAGATGGCCGCGGCCCAGGCGTCTGAGGGCTGGGTGGCGATGGCAGACGCCAAACAGCAGCAGCAGCAACCTCCGGCGAGTGCCAGCATCATGGTCATCAAGGGCCTGCAGTCTGGCAGCCTCCACTGGATATAAGTCTTGAAGCCAGAGGTTCCCCGCTATCCCCTCCAGGGGCCAGGCCAACAGGAGACGGTCATCCTTGTTGGCCCCAGCGACTGTCACAAGCATGATCATGGTAAGCTCCAGGCACTCATGCTGCACCTCCAGCAGCAGCTCCTCTGTGGCCATGCTGGGCTTGATCAGGCACCCAAGCAGGCCACCAATGGCCGGCCAGTAGACTGAGGCACTCAGGGTTTTTCGAAGCAGCTCCAGCAGGACTCGAGGGGAGAGGTAGCCCCCAATTAGGAAGCGGTCCCAGGGGCTGCTCCCACGTGGGTGGAACTCAAGCTGAGTCCTGCGCACGGCCCAGCAGCGAGGATCTTGAGCCACAGTGTCCACTCCAGGCACCAGGCTCCACAGGCCTGGTTCCAGCACCAGTGGTGCCAGGAGACGCACATGCTCCATGGTCCCAGCCTGCAGCCCCTCATAGAGTGGTCCTCCAGGCACGAGTGCCCCAAAGGGCAGTTCTGGGAATTTGTTCCTCAAGTAGGCCTGCAGCTCCAAGGCAATGTCCCCGGCCAGCTGTTTGGCCAAAGCTACATGAGCTGCTGGGATAACCACATGGTCCCGCTCAAATGCCAGCAGCTTCTCCTGGAACGTCAGACACAGTGGCACTGGGGAGATGAGCTGAGGTGGCATCTGAGGTTCCAAATCTGTAGGTCCCTCTGCAGAAAAAGGGAGCAGGGGAATGTGACAGAATGCTCCGTGACGAGAGAGAGACTTGATTACTAGTTGAGCATTAGCTCTTGTCCTTGTTCTTACCTGAAACAGCCACTGCAAAAGCACTGAGTCCAGGTCTCAGGACAGTGAGTGCTTGATGACAAAGTCTCACTGGCTCAGAGGCCCAACATTCTGGCCTTACAGCTAAAATAGCTTCATGCGGGGCAAGGAAGTCTTGCCCCTCTCCAGGCCTCAGTTTTCCCACGTGAGGCCACCCACCTTACTTGAGTAGGACGTAAGAAGACAAAAACATGATCCTAGAGCAAGGGCTATAACTCAGACAGCTTGGGTGCTGTCTCCACCACCAATGCAAAACAAAATAAGACACTCATTAAACATCTGAAGAGCCCACAGCCCAGAGAGGAGCAGGGATTCAAGTAGGGTTGCAAGGACAGTCAGTGGTGGAGCCTGACTGACCTCCCAAATTCGACCACCCACATCAGAAGGGGAGGGGTGCTGCTCACCTGGACCAGAGGGTAGGGCCAGGGGCAATATGGGGTGACTGAGGGCAGCAGGTGGGGGCCGGGGCTGTTGGTGTGGTGTGGCCTTGAGCAGACTCAGTTCCTTCCAGCTGTCTTCCTTGGTGTCATCCTCATCACGAGGGGTAGTGGCTCTGTCAATAAGCTGCAGGTAAAGTGACATAAATCAGAGTAAATGATGCCTGGGCAGCCATGGCAAAGTTTTGGGGCAAAGCAAATCAGGATGCTGGGGTGAAAAAACGGGTGTCCTGGGCCGGGGATTTGGCTCAGTGGTTCCACCGTCTGGCGCAAGGACCGGAGTTCGATCCCCAGTACCAAAAACAAAACAAAACAAAACAAAAAAAAAAACCCAAAAAACAAACGGGTTGTCCTAGGTTCCAATGGCAGCCTTAGGAAGTCCAACCACCCCTCCTGTGACCTGTCTTCAGGACCCAGCCCTCTCCTATTCTGGAAGCCTCAGGCAGGCCCACCCAGCCTGGCCTTACCCGCTTCACAGCCAGGGTGGCAATGCCCAGCACAGCAGCCCCGCCCACGCCCAGCACCAGACGGGCGTTGGCCAAGAGGAAGTCCACAGCGCTGCCCAGGCCCTCCTCACCACGCTGCTTTCCCCGCTTCTGGGAGAACTCGGCCATGGTCCACCTGCAAGAGAGGCAGGAGAGCAGGGCAGGGCAGGTGAGGGTGAGGGTGGGGGTGGCCAGGCTGGCAGGGGGCCAGCATGGGCAGGTACTCTAGGATAATTGAGGGCTGGCCCATGGTTAGCTTCCTGGGAATTTCTCCTAAGAAAGAGGACACTAAAGAGGGTTTCTTCCCAGGAGAGATGAGGGAGCTGGCAAGCCCTCTCCCTGAAACATACAAACAACTCAGCCCTGCAAATGGGAGCTCATACAGAAAGGCCCTGGGCCTGTGGCAGGTCAGAGAAGAGATCATATTTCCTGATCTCCCTGTATAAGATCTCTGATACCACCAAAGATCCATGAGGTGTGTCTTATCATCATCAGCCCTACTTTACAGCGATGGAAGCTACCAAGTCACAGAATAAAGTGGTGAGGTCTCAAACCCATGACAACAAAGTCTCCAGACTCATCCATCCCCAGGAAGCAAGCAATCCTCCCCAAGCCATGTGGCCGGGCCCTTGGGTGCCTAACAAAGGCAGGGCACAGGACCCCTCTCTGATATTCTTTCAGGAGCAACACAAAACCCAGAGAGGACCTGCAATTTGAGGTCTCAGACTGGTGGGGATCAGATCATTGGTAGGGGCCACCGTGAAGCTGTTACCTCCCCACCCACAAATCTTGACAGGAAAACCATGAGGGGCAGAACTATCAAGTCAGAGGACAGGCTGAGAAGATCCAGGCTGCTTCAGCCTCCTTCCAATGGATATGTGCAAGTCAAGGCTGAAGGCCCCACTGTCAGGGTGGCAAGCAGGACAACCCTAAAGATTCAGTCCTAGAGGGCTTCCCAGGGTCTCTGGAGAGGGTGCTTTCCAGGCCTCTTGGGCCTGGGATAATGTTGGAGATGGAGGGAAGTGTCCTCAGCTGCTGGAAGGCCAAAAAACAGAAGGTGAGGCAAGGGCCTAGTCAGGGCCTGTTTTCTCACCCATAAAAGGGCACTCAGCAGTCAGAAAGGCTTACAAGTGACCAAGTTCTTAAGTGTGCAACTGGCTGGGATCAGGCAGTTGGGAAGTGAAGGCAGAAATCTCCCAGGGCTCAGTCCACCAAACTACAAGGTCACAGCCTGCTGGGACACCAAAGGACTTCTGCCCTCCCTGCTGGGCTCTGGGTATCTGGAGCCCAGCTGCCAGATTACAAGATGCCTGGAGTAGCTGAAGCCTGAGGCACTGTGTGACTAAGCCTGGACACCTGTCTTCAGGGGCAAACTAAAAATAAGATGTAGCTCTGGGGCCTGCGAGGTCATAGGCCAGCCAGTTGACCCACCACCGCCCCAGAGCCAGGTTCTGCTTCCTCATCCAGCACAGGGTCCAATACCGACAATGTTCCCAGGGGGACCAAGAACCCACTTTACAAACAGTAAAGTCCTTTAAATTCCAGCACCTGTCTAGACTAGACTCAGCCTGGACCATGATAGGGTCGCATAGGCCCCAACCGCAGCCTTCCAACTCTGGGAAGGTGGAGAAGGCACGGGTGTTTAAAAATAACCTGACTGGGCCAAACCACTCCCTGGACACCGCCTGTCTTTCCCCTCGACCAAACCCTCCTGTCCCCGGCCAAGGCCTAGCAGGCCGCGCAGCAGGCTATAGAAGAGCCTGGGAGAGCCGCTTTCATGGGGAGGTCGCCGACGCCTTGGGATCCAAGGGCAGTAGCCCAAACAGGAAGGGCCAGGATGGATTCGAACTCCGGCTTCGGGATCCAAAGTCCTCCCTTCCCCGAGCGGCTGACCACGGGCCACGCCCCCGAACCGCGTCTCGGACGCGGGCCACGCCCGGGGCTG